ACCGCCACAACCGGGCCGTAAACAAACTACACCACGGTCACACGACTTAACGTCACCGCCACAACCGGGCCGTAAACAAACTACAATACGGTCACACGACTTAACGTCACCGCCACAACCGGGAGGTAAACAAACTACAATACGGTCACATGACTTAACGTCACCGCCACAGTGAGGCTGTGACGTTGTGTTGGGCATGACGGCGTTTTGTAGTCTCATCTTGTCAGGGAAACATAAAACTATGGTATTTACTGACGTCACTTCAGCTTGTGTGAACCACAGACCTTATTTCACACACTGGCATTAAAACCAGGAAACAGGAAGTGCTAACATGCTAACATGCTACCTGACTCTGTCAGGAATGAATAAAGTTTTGTGTGTCAGTCCTGATGAGCTTCAGACAAACTCTTTGTTTCAGACATGAATACTGAATATTTACTGAGACACAGAAACACAGATAAAGAATCCTTCAGTCTTCTTTCTCTAAAAGTCTGAACAGAAGAAGAAGAAGCAGCAGTGAACGTGCAAGTGTATGAACGTGTGAGTGTATGAACGTGTGAGTGCCGCCTCAGGACCAATTCAGATAGAGAGACAGCAGACTGAAGACAGCAGAGGAACTACAGACGATTGTCCTCCTCAGTGAAGTGTCTCTGTGTGAACACACTGTAACTGACCAAACATCAACGTCTTTGAACGTCCGTCCAGCCGCCGAGGACAAACAGCACGCACTGATCTCAGGTCAGACACGGCGGCCGTTAAGACTCACTCGCTGAGGCTTTTGCCTCGCCTCATGGAGGACACCACGGGCCCAGAGAGACACTCCTCCCTCAGGGGGACAACACTGCAGGGTGAGGATGGGGGACGCACAGGAAGCGGAAGGCAGGGAGGACGAGGCAGAGAGGACGAGGTAAGGATGCAAGGAGCCAGGAAAGGATATAAGGAGACAAGAACAGGAAGTAAAATAGAAATATAAAGACATCTTGGACAGAGTGGGGACATGAGACAGAGGGACAGATACCTGGCCAGGTGGAACATCAACAGAGGGACATGACAGTGTGTAAGGTCAGAGCAGAGGGACAGACACCTGGACAGGTGGGACATCAACAGAGGGACATGACAGTGTGTAAGGTCAGAGCAGAGGGACAGACACCTGGACAGGTGGAACATCAACAGAGGGACATGACAGTGTGTAAGGTCAGAGCAGAGGGACAGAGGGCCTTTATTGTGAAATCAGAGGTGGTGACGAAGATGTTCAGCGTCAGATTTACTGAACATGGTTTTAATAAACGTTCTGTACTTCCTGTTTGGGTTAAAGTTTTATCACCATGTGCTGGTGAGTCATCGTCCGCTTTAATAAACATTTCTTTAACGTCCTGACAGATTAATATGATGTAATAATAATAATAATAATAATAAAATGTTTTTCCACTGTTGAAGTGATTTGGGGAAAGATGTGTTGGATCAGCGCTCTGCGTCAGATCAGGAAACAGAGTGTGATTGGTTCATCCTCAGACACAGAGTCAGGATCTGAACAACAGGAAGAGGAAGACAACACAACAGCAACTGCACAGGAAGTTGAATACAGCACGTAGGAGCAGAGGGCTGAGTCTGAGGAGGAACTTTTCTCCTGAATCATTTTAAAGAAACTTAAAGATGTGAAATTCCTGTGTATCACAGCCTGAACTTATGACCCACTGCCTCATACTGACACACCAATGCTTATAAACCATCATTTATTTATATTACTATGATAATATTTCTCCCATCAAAGATATATATTTGAAACACAAAGTCCAGTCGATATTTAAACTCATGTCAGTAATAAAAACTCTAAAGAAGACTGTGTGCTAGTCTCAGCTCAGGACAGGGCTACAGTAAGAAGACCCTTCAAATCTCAGTCATCATTTAAAGTTGACTTTACTGATGATGTCATCACTGAGAGAGTGGAGAGTCTTACTCTTTGTGACTGTTGGTCCGTTCTGATGGGTCCTGGTCACCCACAGGAGAACTGCGACTGGACCAGAGGACACACATACGCACACACACACACACACACATGAAATCATGATTATGCAGCGCACGTGATGACTTGTATTGTTTACATGACAGCATGTCATTTCTGTCTCTACATGGTTGCACGTTTACAATTCTCCTTTGCTCTGTATCGTGCGCGGTGGAGTTCGGCCCCGATGCGCGCACACACACACAGACCAACCTCTCTCGCTCTCCCTCTGCCATTTTCCACACGCTGTTTTTGAAATCTTACGCGATCACCTGCCCCTCGCATCATTCGTAGTTCACCTACTTGACTGGCTTGTGGAGTGAGAGGAGGGGAGAAGGCAGTATTGCACATACGTGGCTTCCGTAGAAGACAAAATAACATCTCCAGGTACCCTTGATTTCAGTAAATTTGAAATCGTTTGACCTCAAAATCGTAATCGTGATCACAAGACGATTAATTGCAAAGTCCTAGTTCAGATTCATTTTTATCCTCTGCTGACGTTAAACGGATTCACGCTCAGTTACAGCTGAAACCTTAAAAAGATTAAAACTGTCTGAGTGCACTCTGTTCAGACGCTACTAACACCTCCTTCTGTTTAAAACCAAAGTGTGAAAACAACATGTTGTGGGTTTATGCTAAGCTAAGCTAGCTGTTTCCAGTCTTTATGCTAAGCTAAGCTAAGCTAAGCTGTTTCCCTGTTTCCAGTCTTTATGCTAAGCTAAGCTAACTGTTTCCCTGTTTCCAGTCTTTATGCTAAGCTAAGCTAACTGTTTCCCCGTTTCCAGTATTTATGCTAAGCTAGGCGAGCTGTTTCCCCCTGTTTCCAGTCTTTATGCTAAGCTAAGCTGTTTCCAGTCTTTATGCTAAGCTACGCTAACTGTTTCCCCGTTTCCAGTATTTACGCTAAGCTAGGCGAGCTGTTTCCCCGTTTCCAGTCTTTATGCAAAGCTAACTTTTTCCCCCTGTTTACAGTCTTTATGCTAAGCTAAGCGTTTCCCCTGTTTCCAGTCTTTTGCTAAGCTAAGCTAAGCTAGCTGTTTCCCCTGCAGATCATTTAGGCTTCATGATCCACTAAGCAGCTTTAACTGGAATGACAAGGCTCCGCCCCCAACGCTGTATCCAGGGGTCTTTGTACATTCCTGGTTAAAACACAGACTTTTCCTGAGGTGTGACTACACCTTTACTCAGGCCAGGTCATGTGACCTTACCAGCCATAGGTCTTCTGTGGTTTGGGCAGCGGGTCGTCGAAAAACGAGTCCCCGTCTTCAGGATCGTCCTCCACCTCCAGGTTCAGGTCCAGAGGCTCCTTCTTGTGGTCAGACGCCTCGCTGTTTCTGGAGCCCTGCTGCTGAAGGTCTCCTTTACCCACAGAAGCCACGACTCCCGAGTCCTGAGCGTGAACATGAAAACATGACAGACGACACAAACATTAGGCGTATCCAGAAACAGGAAGCTGAATATCAGATCCAGACTGTTAATGATGACAGAGGAAAACATGGAGGCAACTGTCCCTGATGTCTCCTCATGATGTTCATGTGGGAGGCAGACACCGTCTCCACATTTAAGACTAGACTTAAGACTTTCCTCTTTGATAAAGCTTATAGTTAGGGCTGGCTCAGGCTTGCCCTGTACCAGCCCCTAGTTAGGCTGACTTAGGCCTAGTCTGCCGGAGGACCCCCTAATAATACACCGGGC